CTCAGTGCTGGTGGTGCTGGGTGGGGACTCACGTGCATCCTCAGGGCCTCGTCCTTTCGTTGTGGAGTAGAGATTGAGGCTGTGTGACAACTTTTTATAGGCATAAGATAGAAGTTTGGGTCTTGCATATACAGGTTTTCCTAGAACCAATGGGAAATCCAGTGAGTTGGGTTTGGGAGTGAAAATAGGAATCCACTCCCTTAATTATGTTAGATTTAATAGATGTGTACTTGAATCCAAAGGCAGCTGTACAAAGTCTGAAAATATAGAGTTAAGACAGTAAAATTTTTACCTATATTTTCCCAATAATTCCAGAATCTCATTGTTTCCCAGCTACCCTTATGAAAGCCCACGCCCTCCCTTTTGATATGGCTTTTCTTTCTCAGCCTTGCCATGACCTAAGATGTGGAACACAAGCATGAAAAACAGGAAAGCTACAAAAGGTACCTCTGTGAACTACAGCTTTGCTCCAGGATTTGACCCAAAGGTCGTGATACATATGTGTCTATATTGACCTATTTAATCTCTTGCTTCTCCAGAGTTTAAAATGATAAAATTTCTTATATACATATAAAAGTATACTTTTCATTCAAGTACTTCTTAATCCACTCACCTCAATCTTACCACCTGATCATGAATTAGAAATACAAGTTTTATTTATTCATTCATTTCTTTATTAATTTTTATTTACTTAGTTTTGGTGCTCAGAATCGAGTTCAGGGCTTTGCACTTGCCAGGCAGGCACTTCTGCCAGTAAGCTATATCTCCTGCCAAAAATGCAACTTCTTACTGTGAAAAACTTGAATCATAAAACAAACAAAATATTTTGTAAAATTCCAGGTAATACACTGCAATTAAACAGCGATAAATTACACAGACCGGTAATAAACAAATGTTGTGGAAGTTGAATCTTTTTTCTCTTGTACTGGGAATTGAGCTCAGGACCTTGTGCTTCCCACACAGGTGCTCTGTCACTGAGCTAAATCTCCAGCCCTTATGAAAGCTGAATGTTAAGAAGATTTTGAGGAAAGCTCAGGGCAAGCTGAAAATGCAAAATGAGAAAACACAGATGCATAAAGAAACTGTGTAATGCGGTTGTATCACAAACACGGGCTAGTTCTCTGCACAGTCCCCTTGTACAGTCAGCCCTAACCCACTGTCCACTGCTCTGCTCACCTGTTAGAGATACCTCACACTGTGAAATAGACTTTATCTGGAAGAAAGAACCAGGCTCCACTGCTAAACCACCCCTTCTGTGATCTCCTACACTGGACATCTTGCATCAGTCCTTCCTTGAGTATTGTGTCTTTGAAAAGTTATTATTTCAGATTCCTTTCTCTCTGACAAGAAAAGAGTTTACTCAAATCTGTTTCATCTACCTAGT